TTCTTCGTTTCTCACGTCAAAATCGCCACTTTTGAATTTTTTAAACCACTCAAAGCACTGTGATTTACCAAGAGCATACTCACCGTAAGCTTCGACAAGCATTCGATGCGATTCCGCAGCAGTTTTCTTCAAATGGTAACAGAAAATCAATGCTGTCCGCAAATCGTAGTTTCCAGGCACAAAATTTGACATGTTCAACGCTATTACAAACTATACTGTTGTATGAAACTTGTATTGTTGTGAGTTGAAAATCTTTGTCAGATGTCAGAACAAGGAAATGGCGTCAATGACGCGGTCTGACGGCAATTACATTGACAGCTATGGCCATCTATTGGTAAATTCCGGTTTCATATTTACATAACTGGTATATCAAAGAATAATCTGCATTAATTAAAGAAAACCTGTAATAGTACGTGACGTAGGTATTGTTTTTAATTAATATGCCAAAGTTTCTCTTTCATTAGGATGTCAATAATTTTCACATCACGAGCGATTGAAAATTAAGAGTTGAAAATTGTTTTTTTACAGCGTAATTTAACAGCAAATTTCTAATTTCCTTTATTGGATATTGCAACTCAATGATAAAAAATCATTTAACTTCAAATATTAAAAAATTGCACAACTCACAATTGATTACCATTGCAGAAATATAATCTTCGAATTTTTATGAAGGAATTTTCGAAATATTTTTAGTCGATCTGAATAAATTACACGTTTTATACATTTAACATTATACTCTGAGAAAAATACTTAAAAATTTATTTATGTGATATGAAATTTATTTCACTGAAATAAATCTTTATTTAAATACGGCGAAATAAAATTTTATTCCTAGCAAATGAACATCCATTTTATTTTTTTACCATTAATGAGATATATTTCATAGAAATATATATTTTGTCATCACAGTAAAATTTTTTTTATTAACTAATAAATATCAAGGAAAATGTTACATATAACATTTAGTTGCAAATATTTCGACTTTTTTTTCAGTGCAGAGAAACATTATTTGTGTTTAATTTCTCGAGAGGAACATTAATCTAGGAATATGCGTGACATCACACAAAGTTGGCGAAGTGTCGCACGGGATACACCTATAAGAAATAGCATCGCCAATAAACCGCCAGTTATCGTGACCAATAAGTATAACTCTCCCCCTCCATGCTTGTACACCGACGCCAAGGCGGAAGAGCTACGTAGTCGTGAGCTACCGCATAGTTCTGTCGACCCAGTGTCCAGGTCTTCGGCGTGGTCGATGAAGCGAGGTCAAACGGGGTCGTCGTCGCCCTCGTCCTCGTCGTCGATAGATGCGCACCGAATCGACCCGTACGAAGGTCAGACAAGCCGGGCTCGGTGACTCCTCGTCTCCTCCATACCTCCGAGCGATTCGACCGCGTTCATTCATGGACTCGGGAAGCTGCCAGGAATCGGGGCGTTATTTTGAGTGCGAGAACCGGCCAGTGGTACGATACTCTGGCCGAAAAAAGGGTGTAACACAATCGAGGGTGGTAGGACGAGATGGTAGGCGATGGAAGACGCAGTGAGAAAAGGAATGGCATGAGAAGACGGAGGAACGTATTGGGAGAACGAGTTACGGGAGAGGACGCGAGGGGAGAAGCGGAGTGAGAAGGAGCATATAGTCATATATAGCCGAGGGACGAGGGAAATAAATGGTTCGAGGAACCGGTAGAAACCGGTCCGCGGACAAAAGACACGTTGCCGGCACCGTCTGAACCGCCATCGAGCAATTCAAGGGGTGAGAAAGAAGGAGAAGAAGAAGAAGAAAAAGAGGAATCACATTGCAGTAGTGCGAGACGCGAGGGAGTGAGAATGGGGGAAAGGCTGACTCAGGAGGAAGAAAAGGATCATGGTGATTCCGATGGAAGAGGACGGTAACCTTCCACTGGTCTAAAGTCTGTGTTACGCGATCTAAAATACGCGATAGAATTTTATGTCTCAAAATACTTGCGTAATAATATCTATGTTTATAAAATTGAAACGCGTTCTTTAATCTTTTATAACATACTATATATACACAATTTCATACACATATATATTACACAAATATGCCAGATATATGTAAAAAAGAAGAGATTGAAATATCCAAATAATTCATAGCCTATATTCAGAACACGTTTATAACAACGTTAGCGCACATTTAGCACATTTAGTTCACATTATACATATTATTAGAACTTCAGAAATAAAAGCGCGCATTTATCGATAAAAGCATTGTGTAAATCCGGACCTATATGTTTAAATTAATATTAATTTAGAGTATAATTCTTCACAGCAGTACAAAACGAGATGTTATCTTATCTATTTGTTTGTAAGAATTAATAAGAGAATTTTTCAAATGGATCGTGTGAAAGGGGCATAATACAAGCCGAGAAACGAGAATTGCCCGGTGTTCGTCCGCGGTGAATTCATTCTAATCCTCAAGAGGCCATTTCTTAGCTCCATTTCTTCAGGTCCCTCCGCGGCCTACCTCTCGTCTATTTATCTTCCTTTCTCTCGTTCTCTAGGTTACTCGAGCTCTCATTACGCGCGGTCGTTTCTTCGTTCTGTTCTTCCTGATTTGTACTCACCGAGAGAGTCTGTCTTAAGAGTTCGATTGGTTACAGTTTTTTTCCACCTTTGACCGCGACATTGAGTACTTGCGGCATTTTTGTTTCTATTAAGATGCAATTAGACATAATAGGTTTGTGTTTTTATTCTTGTACTAGATTGCTAGAACTTTCTTGTTTTTGTCAAATATTAAACATATATCTATAGGATGACAAAAAAATTTGGCCACAAAGTTTTGTATTTATCAAATCATTAGTAACATATATTTACAAAAAAAAACAAACTTTGGACTGTTAATTATATCTTATTAAATACAAAAATAATAATTAATATTCAAATAGCCATCTTTAGGTTTGATATTATCTTTTAAGACGCTTCAACGATAGCCGCACATGTTTTCACGAATAAATTCTTCTAGGTAGGTAGCCAGTAGAGAGCGGTCTTCAGTTCATTAATTAATGAAAATCTTTTGGTGCAGTTCTTCTGATATTTAATAAGATGTAAATAATTCTCTAGAGTTTGATTTTTTTAAATATATTGTAATAATTTTAAACACAAAATTTTGTTATATAAACTTTTTTGTCAATTTGTATTTTATTTCAAATAAAAGTGTACACAATTCAGAGAAAACAGATTTGTTTATGTATATACTTTAACAGATTTATTTATGTATAGATACTTTAACAACATCGAGTACTAATGCGACTGAAAATAGAATATCACAGCTGTGATATAATATTGCTAACGTTTTTAATATTGATCACTGTTTAATATTACAGATTATTTGCATTTGATGTTAAATATTTTCGGTATTGGTATTTTGTCTCTAATTTGTTGACATTTGAAAAATATCAGTGGATTTAGTAATTCTAGTATACTTGACACATTTTCATAACAGATATCTATTAATGCACTGATTGGCAACTTCATATTGCAAAATATCGATGTTAATCGATATTAAATTTGAACGATAATGAATACGATATGATGAATGCTAATGGGATAGTTACGTGCATCGCGTGATGAACTAATGGTGATTATAGCATCAGTTGATTTAACAACGTGGACGAATTAAATTCCAATTTGGAGAATCTACGTAAAATCGATTGCGTCAGAACGTTGCTATCGGGTTTTCGGTTAGCGCCACGTTTTTAGTTTAAATTGAAGGATAACAGATTGTCATCGATGAAGTTTGGAGCATCAGGAAAATATCCAATTCGAGATGGCTCCTGAATAATTCAAAAGTTTCGTCTGTCTTTTTGCACGATTATCGCGGCGAGTTTTTCGCAATTTTGAAATAACATGGCGGTTTCTGACTTTACGAAACCAAATAAATTTATCTTCCATCGTCTCACGATGAATATTCCTGGAATCTCTTTTCTTCTGATCTGATTTCTTCTTAGGTTACCTCTTTATAGTCTGAGTTCAAGAAAATTAACGTCCAATTCTTCAAATAACTTCGAGTCAAGCTCGTTAGTGAATTCTCGATTATTTAACAGAAGTCATGATTTAGCAAAATCTTAAATACTGATTTAGCTGGTATCACTGATAACGAATGCTAAGTTTATCTATTTTCATCAGCTGACATTTATTATTGCGATTTTATGCATTATTCAGATTATTTATCGATTACATTTTTGTTTATTTGATTGCATAAATCGTTATACGAATCTATATCAACTTCAGCATTGATTTATCCGATTTTGCAATTCAGTATTTGTGATTGTTTTGTGTATCGTTGCAAAATATAAATTCTCAGCATATTTACTTTTTACTTTTATATTGATTTTTTACTTCAGTCATATCTACCTCTTTATTAAATACTACTGAAATAATTTATTTTAGTGTTTTCATAATAGTCAATAACATTAATTACATATTTTTAATTATTATATTATACGCTGAGAAAAAAATTTATTGAATCTTAAAACATGCTTTTTTCAATAGTATTAACTAACTAAAGATTTCCTTGCGGTAAATAAATATTTACTCAATAAAAAAAATGACAGTTAAATCGAATTAATGTTTTTCTCGTACGAAATAAATATATGTTTACTTTTAGTAAGTGAAACTTTTAGTAGTAATTTGCTTTTTAAGTCAGTGTTCAGGGTCCGATTACCTTACATTTTTTTTCAGTGTATAAAATACACTACATAAAAGATTATTTTGTACGAGTTTAAGAAACATTGATGTATACGACCGTTTAGAGAATGCTCCCACGCCAAAATCATCCGACGAACGAAAAGATTCAAAGTCGATCTTTCTTTCTGTGAGTGCAAATCGGAAGTATCACGCAGTGGACCTTGTGGTAATAAAATAACTAGACCCTACAGTTCTTTGAAGTGGCATTCTTGCGGTCGTCGATATAATTCCTTGCATCCTAGGTCCTCGTCGACATCCCACTGCTCGTTCGGGTCTCTTTTTATTTTCACGAGCGCTATATACGTCGCAAAAATAAACGACTGGCGTAAACGCGTGTCGGATGACACATTGCTGAAAATATAACCTCAAGCGGC